ACTTCGGATTAATCCCAAACTCTATTGCAGCTGCTAGACCGTGTTCACATGGAATTCTTAACTTCGTGTACCTAAGACACGTACACGTACACTCGTCGAGTACAACATGGAAATGCTCACCAGACTTGCTTGTAACTTGATAACTCCAGGGTCCAGACATCTTCACTGCAAATTTCCCGGACTCAGGTAAATCTTGGAGAAAACGATCATCAACCTCAGGCGTCACTAAAGATTTACATTTAGCCACTTTTTTCCGCCTAGCTGCGAACCACCGCATAAGGACCTCTCGAATGAACTCTATCATGTAGACAATCGGATATGCTTTTGCTTTGGTTAAGACGTTATTCATAGACTCTGAGTTGTTGCTAGACATGATATTGTACCGTTCCCCTTTGCAGTGAGCTCTTGTCCAATGCTCAAATCCAATTTCTTCCAAGTAATTTGCGCATCCAGCACTTCTGCCCCTTAACTCTGCAAAGTATTTTTCAAAATCCCTCACCCTATATGCTTTTGCGGCGCTGAAGAATAATCCCGAAACACCATACTTACTATAATACGTGGATATATTTCGCTCAAGGTGTACTACACATGCTCCATGATGAGCTTTCGGGTACACAACACTGAGTCCTTTGTAAATAAAAGAATGCCTGTCCGAGACAATCATTAAATCTTCACTGTCTGGAACAATCTCAGATAATTTATCAAAGAACCAAATCCATGAAGCATCGGTCTCCCCATCAACAACACCAAAAGCTATTGGAAATATTTGGAGGTTTCCGTCTTGGGCACATGCTATTAGGAGGACCCCTTTGTAATGACCTACTAGCTGTGTACCATCTACGACAACTACTTTCCGCATATACTTAACTCCTTTTATGGATGCCCCGAGAGCTACAAATACATACTTAAATCGCTGCTTACCATCAGCTTCAGGGGTAGAGTGGAGGTGTGTTATTGTCCCAGGATTAGCTGCTTCAAGGAGATACAAATAAGTTGGTAAAAACCTGTAACTTTTGATATCATCCCCTCTAACATTTTCAACTGCCACCTCTTTAACTCTCCAAGCTGTAGCATATGAAATCCGAACATTGAGATCATTTAATAGCAACTGTGGTAAATCAACAGCTCTCGGACCTCCTTGCGTAGAACTGTATCTACTCTTCACTACCTCTCCGAGAAGTTTATAGTTAGCATGTTTAGTTAACCATTGCGAGGTCGACGTCACATGTATGGATGGATATACATTTGTGATTTTGAAACATTCTGAATTCTTGACAACCTTTGCAGACAAATGCCAGTGATGTGTTGCGTTTTTAACGGTTTCGAGTCTTGGTTTAGTCCATGTTTTGAGTCATCTATCGTGTCAAAGTCCGTCTTTTGCGTCTTTTCGGTTGTGTCTTGAGTCCTTTGCAGGCTATAGGTGCTCGAGCTGGATTCGGAGCATCTTGTGCATGATTGAGCCTATTCGGAGCTAAAGCAATGGAGAAACGGTACAATAGATCACCAGGAGCTGGGGATCGATCGATCCAAGGCGTGGATCGATCGATCCCAATTGTGACGATGAAGCCAAAAGTTCCAGTCGCTCGAGATCGATCGATCCCAGGAGGGGATCGATCGATCCAACCCTCATCCGTCCAAGACCAATTGATTCAGCATATCTGGATCGATCGATCCACCCATGGGATCGATCGATCCGAGCCTCGACGCCCCGAGACGGTTTTCCTAAACCGGGTTTTGTCTTCCTTTTTTGTACTTGGGTATAAAAACCCCAGAGACCTAATTTTCTTGGGGACGTTTTCTTTCTGCAATTTTTCTGAGACTTTTCTCTTGTAAGCAACCTTGGGATTCTAGAGATTCATCCTCTTTGACAATTTGGAGAAGATTTCTAAACCCTATTTCTTATTTTCATTGCAATTCAATTATGCTTTCTTCATCTCTTTGTGTTGTTTTCTTTGCTATGAGTGAGTAGTTTCTCAATTGGGTTTTAGGGTTCTAATTAGGAGATTCAATGGATTAATGGATTGATTGTTATTAGGAATTCTTATTCTCTAGGTTCTTTGATTCACATGTTCTTAATGCTAGAATAGGATTGATCACCCTGTTGTAGAGTCTAGGTTTTTCTATGCATCAAAAGTGTTCGATAGAATGCCTGAAAGAATGTGAATTGAGCAATGTATTTCTAGCCAACGAAAGTTGACGTTAGGACGCATTGTGAACTTAATGAACTTGTTTGGTAATGCGAATTTGACTAGGAAATTGCATGCGAAAGTTTAGTAATCGAATAGTCAAATTTAGTGATTAATGTCTTGAAAGAGAATTGGTCTGAATGTGTTCATGTTCAAGAACGGTTCGTAATTGTTGAATTCCTTGTCTCATGTTTCCATTGTTTATTGATCTCTGAAATACCCTAACGCCCAATGTCTTTAAATCTTGAAGTTAAATCGTTTATTTTAATTGCATTTTTATTTACAATTCCGAAAACCCAAAACAAAACAATCTTTTAGTTTTAGCTAAGAACAAGTCTCGGAAATCCTTAGAGTATCTTTGGTCCTTGTGGATCGACCACGAATATACTACCTAGCGGTTAAGTGTATTGAGTAATTACTCGAGCAATCAGCCACCGACAATTTTCATCCACACAAACCATCTCCAATCTTCTAGGATCAGACCGAGTTTGCTTGTAGCAAAAGCAAACTTTGAGTGCAAGATAAGACATAGTTTGTTGTATGACTTTCCTGTTCATAAACACACTACCCACATACAATGTCTCACCAGTCGTACTAATTTCAACTTCTGTAGAATCACATCTAACTTTGGCTAAATCATCAAATACTGGAGCAGTATCATTATCAAGAATCTCCGGCTCTCCACTATGTAATAAAGAAAATCCATTATACACTTCGTAAGCCTCAACCGAGGGTTGTATACGGAGATCAGTTTCATTTAAGACACCAGTTTCTGAACCTCCGATATCCAAATCCACACCAATCTCTCCATTGACTTCGTCTCTACCATTAACATCGGTATCCGTATAAGTAACAAATTCATCTTCGCATCTTGTGTCTTGTACACATTCTCGAGTGTACGTACATTGGAGCAATCCATGTTGACACGTCCGGGTTGAATTCACAGTGGGCTGGGTGTCACCCAAATTCGCACTTCCTTCTCCTGTACGTACACGTTTACTTGTGTTCGTACACTCTTCCAATAGACGACTGAATTCCCCTGCCGGTTCTACGGTCGGTGGAGTGTCACAGACGTCCTCCTCAACATGGCCAACTCCATATTCTTCTACAATCAAATCATTCCACTTGTTGTAATTGTAATCTTCACTACTACCTTCACTGCCGTCTATAGTAGGGTCGAGGGTACTTCCGGCACTATATCCACCACTGGCATCGTCATCTATTTCAATGTTTTCGTCGCTGTCATCATCTGCATCTTCATTTGTTTTTTCATCCTGTACATCAGTTTGCTCATCTACATCCGCATTAGTAGTGGCATCTACAGTTGTACTGAAACGACACAAACAAGTTGACACTTGGATCCCCAACACGAATCAGGAAGAATGTATCCAAGCTCATTTGTTGTCAATGTAGACAGGAGGGCGTGTACGTTCTATCATAATTGACATATTTCCCGGCATCCAGTAACTAATTATTGGCTGCCATTCATTGTACTTCAAATTGAAAACCTCACATAATGTACGTGCCAAATCCGTGTACCTCATGTTTTCTCTAACACGTACACACCGACCATAGCTTCCTTTCTCAGGTTCAAATTTCCATTGTTCTTTTGTTATTATCCACTCACCAACCATAATAAATACTGGAATCTCCATTAACATCCTGCATCATAAATTCAGGAGAACACCATTAAATGCAACTGAGAACAACTTTTATAACTCCAACTAAAAAAAGACTTTGCAACTACACACTTAGTGCACATTGAATCTCCTCATTTAACATTTATTACAGAACAAATATAGAATGAAGACAGGAATAAATGATCAATTTCCTGAAGTTTTGTATCCAAATCAATTTTGTTTTCATTGAAAGTGTATGTAATACCTAAAATTTATATTTACAACTTCATTACTTACCACGGTCACTGCTTTCTCGCCTGCAAACTTTGTTAAACAAGAAGATCAAAATGGCGTCTATCTCATTTATTCATAGATATTGAGGGGAAGTTTATGTTTTTTCTTATTTCTCTTTACAAAATCTAAACAGTGGACGTTATTATGATTTAAGAGGATTAAAATAAGATGTAATGATGAGTTTGCATTGATTACAGTTGGAATGAGTCATGTCTCAACTTTTTCAGCATTTAAAACATTTGTGACAACATATTTTATTTGTTTTATTCTTTCGGTGTACATTGTACATCCGACGGAAATATTAAAAAACTAATCAACTGTAGCTAACGAGTTACTGTGTACGTAACCAACTCGCCTGACGATTTCGTTCGCATTCACTGTACACCGGTTCGGCTACAAGGGCATTTTCGTCAGAAATTGACATAATTGTCAAATGGTGAAAGCTAATTCCCATTTTGTCAAAACCTGAAATAAAAACTTAAAAATTGGGCCTGGCCCGTAATTAACCCTATATTTATAGAGTTTAACTTAACTACTTAATAAATAAAACAAACAAAAGAATTGTCAATTACCAAAATGCTTTACTATTATCTTTTTCACCTCGATTTATTAAAAATTACATGTTCCAATAATTTTTTTTTGTTTAAATTAATTTAATTAGTTCTCTTACGATAAAATATATTCAAATTATTCCCACGTATCAAAATATGATCCATCTTTTTTTCTGAAAATCGTTATGTACCTGTTTTGGAACATCTATTTTTTTTAAGAAACACGTATTTGTTATCCAATCCATTACAATAGTTTTGTTTAATAAAATTACAGGTTTTTTTGTTTGTTTAGAGTAAAGACAGTCTTAAACCCTTTTAATAATAAAATTAAAAAAGAAAGAAAGAATAAAGATAGTCTTGGTCTCTTGGACATGAATCTTGAGAAATTCAAACATAATGGTTAGTTGTGTTTTAACCGATGCATGTCTAGTTTGTTGCTTGACTAATGTTCTCAAGCATGTGTCTCACTCGACGAACACGGACATTTCTCTACCTTGTTGATGTAGGAATCATTGTCTGGTTGTTGAAACTCTTCCCACAAATCATTCCCTTTGCTCTTCCAAAGGAAACATAATGTGAATTTTCCGAGTGTTAGAATGCACACAACAAATACAACAAGAAATAGAAGCCAGAAACTGTCTACACCGAGCTGCCGAGAGGTAAAAGATGGATTTGGATCTGGATTAGTGACTGGGTCTGGACAACGTTCTTCTTTCTTCTTGAACCATGCGCGCTCAAGCTCCATCGCCTTTGGTGACTCTGCTACTTTTAAGATAGCCCTTGAAACATCGGCCACCATAGGTGATCCGATCGGAAAAACCTACAGAAAATGTGAATTATAATCTCACTAAATCATGTACCTTTCACAGATATTTTGTCTTGGAAACTTACGAAGCCAAATCCATCGATATTGAAGGGTTCTTCAACCATTTTATAAGTGTTGCAATATTGTCCAAGGAAGAGTCTCAAGTAAGGTATTTCCAAGAAAGCTGCAGACACACCGCCTTTTTCTGATCCTTTCCTCAAAAGCTCGTTGCATTCTTCAGAGGTGTCAAAGGGAACAAGGCTAGATTGTGAGAAACCTGTTTCTTTAAGCTTTCCAAGAATGAAGGATGTTCTCTGATAACCCACTGTTTCTCCTCTCTCAAGCAAGCTACTCATGCTGGTTATGGTTGGATGAAGTTGTTGTGATGTCAAAAGCGATGCCAAACTGGCTGTATAACTCTGAGTCAACACGAGAACAACGAAGTACCATGCGATAACCAGGAACCTAGCCCCGAAGCTAAACACTCTTTCTCCTGCGGACAACAAATAGGGAGTAAGCATCAAGAAAGGTGATTATATAGAACCATATATCAATGTATGCTAAGATGTAAAGAGGGGAGATTCAAAGTACTTGGAGCAAAAACCATGGTAGAGAAGGCAAACCAGAGGATAGTACTAGCTTGGTAATTAGCAGGTCCACGGAAGTCCGGGTTAACCCTATGTTCAAGAGCCCAAACAGTAATTCCAACAAGGAAGAAGAAGACGAAGGAAGTAAACCATAGATTCCATGACAAAGGTTTCAAGAAAGTGAAACTGTCTCGTTTCACTTGGTCTTTAATGGGGGCGATTAATCCTACGCCTGATTTAAAGAATGGGAATGTGAAGTCGACGTAAGCGGACCTGTTCGCCAGTATGGTTGTATCTCCCACAACAGCATCATATCTCTGCGAGAGAGTGAAGAAAGGAAAATTTCACTAAGATGGATTTTAAAAATATATATATTAAGGGATGATTAGTGGATGATCTTGCTCACCCCGAGGTACACTTGGTGGACCAAATCATCATAATTACCGGCTGGTTTACCATTGGGTTTCTCGAACGGAATGAACTCATACGAAACGTCATAAGGCATTGCTCGAATCACAGCCTCAAAGAAATCAATGCAGAAACCTGTGACTACTGGTGAATTGGTGATAGGATCCCTTGTGACTTTCACAAGATCGGTGTAACCGGTTCTCTTTGGAACCCCAATGCGCAACTTCTTCCCATTTGTCGGCATCTCCCATCCTTTGGGAACAGAATCAGCCTCTCCAGGCCATAGAATGTTTTTAAGATGGTCTTTCCAAGTAGATAAAGCGTTCATGCTCTTCGGTTGCTGGTTTAGTTTCTTTACAAGACCATTTTCCTCGGTCCAGAATCCTATCGACCTTTCTCCATTTCCAATCATATTAACAATCTCAAACACCGATGGTTGCAGTTGTCCCTTGATAAAACGGAAATCTCCTGCAAGTCCTTTGAACTGAATTGTTGAGAGTGTCTGGAGAAGCTTTGGACCATATTGAGATAAAGCAAGAACTTCAAGTTCAGAAACATTCCTTCCAAGATCCACATTACTGAAAGTCAAGTTATTTGTTCCAGCTTCTTCAATGGCTATCGCCAGTGCGGTGATAGCATCATAAGCCCACAATCCATAGACATTCAGCTCCATCCGTGAAAATTTCTTCCTCCATCGAGATCTAAAATTTTCAAGTTCTCTGGATTTCTGAATATAAGTTTTAACACCCAATACCCCCTCCATAGCCTCAATACCTGTCTCACTTATCCAATTCAATTCATCGGTTACGCCATTGGTAAGGATCCAGACATATCCTGGTTTCATCAAACCAATTTCCCTAGCTTTAATGAAGACTCTTGAGGCAAGAGAAGAGTACATGTGTACAATGAACACTCTTGTGGGCATAGTCATCATCTTAAGAAGCTCCACAGAGATTTCATGATCTGTGGCATTGGACGCAATGACAGATCTGTAAGGTATTCGAACATTAATCTCTTGTAATGCATCGGTGAGACGAGGCATTATACCTTCTCCAAAGCTGTTGTCGATATAAACAGGCACGGCTTCCCTCCAACCAAACAACTTGATGATAGCTCTTATGGTGTACACTTGAAAGGAGTCTTCGTATGTAGCACGAAAGAAGTATGGACTACGAAGAGAAGTAAGAAATGGGCTTGTTGCAGAGTAAGAAACAACCGGAACCCGGGATTTTTGGCCAATCTCGATTAAGAAATGAGCTTGCATTGAACTCCATGGCCCCAAAATCGCTTTCACTTCATTGTTCTTGAGCAGCTCAAGACCTGTGACAATGCCAAAACCAAGAAACCTTGGTGTTAACGCGAATAGACCGATGATGGTAGAGAGAGAGAGAGAGAGAGAGAGAGAGAGAGAGAGAGAGAGAGAGAGAGAGAGAGAGAGAGAGAGAGAGAGAGAGAGAGAGAGAGAGAGAGAGAGAGAGTACCTGCAGCTGCAGCACCTACAACGTCCTTTTTTGAGTCGCCGACATTGACGACAATCCTTGTCCGAAAATGGGGACGAGAAGAGTAGAAATCTGCAAGAGACATGTTGATGCAGAGCATTTCAATGTCTGAATGCATCATCCCGACATCTGTTACAATACCCACATTGACTTCTGTTTTTTTGTTCTGTCCTCTACTGAGTACAACAAAGAACACAGAGAAGAAGAAGAGCAAGGCGACGAAGATAACTCTCATTTGGGTGTTTCTTTTTAAGTTGTAAATGTTAATTATGAGAAGTGATGATAAGCTCTAAACTTGTGTTGATCTCTATGCATATATATACCCATAATTTTTTTTGATAAGCTGCTGATTTTTATTTTATTTCACATTCTGACCAAGTCCGAGCAAGCATCAAATGTAATAAAGATACGAATCAAATACAATGTCAAAGTTAGTAACCATTTTTAATACAAATGTTTCTTTTTTAAGTAAGTTTCTAGCTTTGTAGGAGACGACTTTTGCATTATATATTGTATTAAAATAAATTTTTGTACATATTCGACGAAAATCTATGCACGTCGTACAGAACTAAAAATATAGTAAAATTCTGTGAACAACTTGATTGAAAGATGTTCTTCTTTTAATTTACTTGTATTGTAAGTAAGAATATGACATGTTCAATAGTCTCAATTCTACGACAGTCGAGCAATAAGATTATTTAATGGGAGAGTTGTGTTAAAAAGAATTTAACACTGGGTAAATTAATCGATTTAACATGACAATTTATCATGGTAAAACGCAGTAACGAGAGAAACAAAACGTAAGGAAACGAGACTGATAAAGCAAGAAAAAAAAAAAGTTGTTCTAACTTAAGGTTGCAGATTTTACTGTTCCACACCGAGCCACTTGGTGAAGTTGTCAAACTCAGTGTAGTCACTGTCCGATATCATAGTCCTGTACCACGGTTTTCCTGCTGCTTTGATCTTCATTGCCTCCTCCTACAAGACAACAAGAAGAAGAAGGTTAATCACACAAGCCAGACAATATACACCAGATATTCTAAGTTACTAAGAAAACAGAGAGAATATTCAGACTCAACATCTTCGAATCGATTACATAAACCAATAAGCAGCAGTGAATCATAGATCTCTAAGAGAACAGGAGAAAAGTTACTACCTTTGAGATGGGTTTTCTCTTCCTCTCAAGCTTCTCGTTTTTCGACTTCACTCTCTCAGCTTCAGCCAACAAAGACATTCTCCTCGCAGTCTTCGCATAAGGGTTAAGCTTCAACATCACATTCAAATTCTTAAGAGGATTCTTCTTCAACACAGCTCTCTTCACGTCCATCTCAATCGGTCTAACAACACTCTGAACCTCATCCGAATTAATAATCCTAGCCAAATCAGCATTAACCATCTTCGCCCTAGGTAAAACATAACCTTTCTTCATCTCCGAAGACATCTCAAACGAACCATAAACCAATTCCAACTTCGCAAAAGCCGATTTAGTCCACACAACAAATCTACCTAAATGACCACCAGGAGCTAATTTAAGCAAACTCAACCTCTCTACATGACACAAATCAATCCCAGGAATGTTCCTAAACGCCTTAACCAACTTAGCTCCCTCATTTCCATACACAATCAACGGACCTTTACGCGAAACATATGGACGATTCCTCATTTTACCTACACCAGACCTAATCCCAATACTATCTTTAGCCTTCTATGCATCAGCATAAGCACCAATCTGTTGCAAAACCTTAACCGCATCACTAGTTTTCTCAACAGACTCAACATAATCACTAACCACTAAAGGAAACTCAGGAAGATTCTCAATCTTATGTCCACGAGCCATCACTAAAGCCGAAGTCGCAGCAATCGCTGATACAATCGCGTGTCGTTTCAAATTGCTATTGACACGACGGTGCCAACGACGGTAAGTCTTCGTCGGAGCAAACATTCGTCCACTACGACACATGTTTCCCAAAGCTGCTTGACCGGCACGGTGAGTACCACCTCCGGCAACACGAGGGATACGTGATACGGCTCGTCCTGTACCCCAAGACTCGGCGGAAGTTTGATGACCAGCGTGTTTTGAGACGGCGTAAGGTTGGCGACTGTTGTTTGATATCTGAGCGTGGATATGGGATACAACGTCGGGACGAACTGGTGCTTTCATTACATCGGGGAGAGGTAGTGTGGTGGTTTGATCTGTGATCATATCGCCGTCCAGAGATTGGACGGTTACTAGAGGACGAACGTCGGCGGTGGCGGTGGACATTTTCGAAGTGTGATTAAGCGTTTAGTTTTTTTTTTCGTTTTTCGGAAGGGAAATGGTGAGAGGAGTATATGTAGGGTTTTTCTCTCAAGGGTGTTTTTGTAAAAGCACTAAATTTAACCATATTGCTTCTTCGTCAAGAAAAAATGGGATTTAAAAATTTAAAACTGATTTATTCAATTCAGCTTGGTTTTTGATAAATTTGAGTTATGTTTTCTTAACTAGTTTTATAAAGGATAAGTGGTGTTAAAAAAAAAAATCGATGAAATAAATGTTGACTCAATTGATGCAATGACCGACTATTGTTGGTGCGATGAAAAATGAAAATGTTCCTTGTAAAGGGAGTCGACTTTCATTGAGAGAAGACCAAACAAACCAAGAACAGAAAATGAGGAAACCAAGAAAGAGTGATGAAATGTAGAAACAGAGGAGTTCACTCTTGTTAACAAGGGAGCTACGTCTGGCCGAGACGGTGACTCGGAATCCACTAAATTTAAGACAGAGATTACATTAAAAACTATAAGTGACATGTTCTAATGCTCTTTACCAGCATTTAAAGCTCAATCTATTAGTTCCTAATCCTATAGAAAACAAGAATAAGTTTATGCTATTACAATTTTTCTCTTCTTTCTCTATCAAGCAAAATACACCGTAACTTTCTTTTTTCCTCAAATGTTCCCTTTTATAGAGAGACACCAATGATCCCGTGCAATGACCTGACGCATTCCCCTTCCTCTTTAGTCGCCAACACAGCTCCATAAATCATGATTGGACCAGAGGACAAACACGCCTTCAACATTTGAAATCACGAGAGGACAACTTATACGACTTCATTGTTGGCATTATAGCCGTTTTCTCCATGTGTGGTCCCAAAAGCATTTCTAACATTGGTTAATCTACATCCATCTTGGTTAGAACTTGAGTTGAGGGAGACTGTGTTTATCTTGTGTTGGGTACAAACCAACGTCCCATATCGGAAGTTTAGAAAAAGAATTTTCTAATATATAAGTCAAGTCCAACTTCAACTAGTATGAGACATTTTGGGAAGGAGTCCAATAACAAATCCGTGCGAGCTTGAGCATATAGGCCCAAAGTGGACAATATCATACTGTGGAGAGTTGGATTAGACTTGGAAAACCCAATAAATGGTATCCGAATCTAGGTCGGAAAAAAGTGGACCTAGGGGTGCGGGCTAAAGTTCGTTGTGGGAGAAGCCCTCAAATGTGACACGATAAGAAGGTGCCGGGTTAGGGTGCCAATTTCTTCTCGGCCTTGTGATACTCTAAATGCTGTGGTGAAAATATTAGCTTTGGATCTATGTCAGTCTTAGTGTTTCCAAAACCATTCGATTTCTATTCCTCTTGTATTCTATATCTTTGAATTGAGATTTTGTCTTTTCGATTGGCGATAACAGTTTATGGGATTTTTAGTTTTCTAGAGTTTTTCAACTTGACTTAAAGCAGTTGTAGATAGTGAGGAGTTCGGTGTTGGTAATCTTGTTAATTGGCACTTTGTCGAGGTAAGATATCCACCATTTTATGACAGTTTTATAGGTTTAAAACGTTTTCCATGGCTCGTTCTCCTGAATGTACAAAATTTTGGTTGTGGTGAAACTTTTTTTAGTAGTGCTGTTTTGTTTGTCTTTTAAGATTCTACACTAAATTAGTTGGACCGTGGACGGCTGGACCTATGTCTTCAGATTATGGATTAATTTTTGATAACAATTCCAATATATTTATCATATCAAAAATAACGCAGAAAAAAAAAACGTTGCTTCTCCTCTCTTCTCTCTTTAAAATCTTATGGACCTATGTCTTCAGATTATGGATTATGGACCTATGTTTTTTCAAAATCCTATCTGATCCCTCCAATCTTTTCGAGGAGTAAGATCTTCGTCACTTCCTTTTGCTCATGAAGTAGGAGCAAAGATCGGACTACATCAAGTTTGGATGTGGTCAGTGGTGGAGCTTCCCCGGAATTGGTGTTGTTCGGAGAATTTCAAAGTGGTTTTTTTTTTAATCGATCCAGAAGATTCTCGACGCTTTGAGATCAAGAGAAGGGTGGAAGATTCTCATAGCTCCAGGATTGATCGGTGATGTCCGTCGAAATTGACGGTGGTGTTTGACGAATTGACGCATAGCATTGGGAAGAAAACGTCTTCCACACATATCAACAACTAAATCATATTCGCATTAATATTCATCTTTTAGTAAAATATGATTTAGTTTTAGGCTTGCGCTGTTATTTTATTTGAATCCCATTTTCTGTAATCTGCCATTTTGGGCTTTATCAATGTAATCAAATGTCCGACAAAAAATAATAACGCGGTTTTTCACACTTTTTAGGAAAATGCTACATTTTTATATGATAACTCAATTGGATAATATGTTGCAACCCAAAGTTTTGAAATCCCATACTTTCTTTAAAGCCCAAAAGCCCAATAAAAAATGAAAGAATACACAAAAGCCCAATAGAAAATAAAGGAAGACAGAAAGCCCAATAGAAAATGAAGGAAGACACAAATTCCGTTTTTCTGACAACTACACCGGTCACCGGTACATGAGAGTGATGAGAATTCTTCTGTGACATTTCGTTTTGACAACAGAGGTAACGGAGACGACGACGGTTTTTACTACATCTTCTATTCTCCGCAACTGTTAGGGTTTAAACTTGTAATTCAAAGTTGGGTACAGTCGTACAGACTCTTCTTCCCCCTTTTGGTACCAAATTGAATATTCTATGTGATTCGATTCTCTGTTTCCATGGCAATTTTGTGTGTCTGTCTGTGTTTATGAATGCAGGAAAATAAGATCAGTCTTAGATTAGTTTCATATTGTTATGCGTTTACTTTTTTTCACTGGTCGTGTTTGTTTACCATTTACTAAACCCTAGAAAGCTTAAATTACAGGTTTTAGGAAATTGCATCAATTAGCAAAACATGGCACCGAGAAAGAAGACACCAGCCATGATTTGGGTATAGAATCTTTCTCTCCTTTTGTTACAAAAATCGAAAAAGTTGTAATTTCGTATCGAATTCTGTAATTAGATTTTGATTCCCCTGTTTTAGGTTAGGAAATCGCAGCAATCAGCAACAATTGGAATGCATTTAGACTCGTCTCTTCTCCCAGATTGTGTACGTTTGCTACTACTTCACTATCTGAGTCTAAAAATTTTGATTTTGATTCTCTGTTTTAGATTTCTGGAAATCACCTACTGTAACTTTACATAGTACTGATAAGTTTAGAAATTTTCTTGTAGGTTTCAAAATTGCAGTTGTCTCCGTCTCCATCAGCAAAAATAGGTCAGACATTTCTCATGAGAGACTGGTCTCTTCTCCCTGAAGAGCTACTGAGAATTATCTCTAAGTATCTGGAGGACAAGGACTATTGTTTCGATGTGGTTCATGCTCGCTCTGTTTGCAGTTCTTGGCGATCTATCTTCCCGTTTCCTTCTTGCCTATTACGCCAAAGTTATTCTCTTCCTTCCTTTGCCAAGTTCCCTCGCAAAACAAAAGACTTGTGCACCCTCGAGAAGATCCCTTTGTTCTTGTTTAGAGTTCGTGCTCCTGCATCGCATTATGAGTATTTTCTCGGAGATTTGGGCCCGGATAAGTCAGAAGACCGTATGGAGCGTCCATCTCCTCTTCAATGTTCAGTGAAATATAAGATACCAGGAACTGATCCAACCTTAATGAACATGCTAGACTGCCAGATCATCCCTCTGGGCCATCAGTACAGGATGATCGGTTGGTATCCTGACTCATTGGCAACAAGTTTCAGAGGCGTGGCTGTTCTTCCACTAAACAAGCAGGGAGGAGGAGGAGGAGGAGGAGGATTTGTTGTGCTTATCGGCTATTCTCATGGTTTGTTGGTATTAAGAAGTGCTGAAAGGAGATGGATGCGTCTTGAGCAATCCTCAATAGCTGACTGCTCGGATATCCTCACTTTTAGAGGCAGATTTTATGTAGTCTTTCTTAACGGGGACATTTTCGTTATCGATCCTTATTCTCTGGAAGCAACTCCCCTTATGCCACCGGAGGTTCTGAACTCTGGTTCATGCAATTATCTGGTTCCATGTGGCAATGATGAACTTTTTCTAGTTGTGGTAATCATCCCAAGATCGTCTGTGTTAGATTTTGGTAAGTTAACATGTAGAGTGAGTAAGCTAGATGAGGAGGCTGGTGAATGGGTTGAGGTCAGTGATTTGGGAGACCGTGTTTTGTTCATTGGAAACCAGGGAAATGTTGCTTGCTCGGCTAAGGAGCTTCCTAATGGTTGTGGTGTGAGCGGGAACTCAATTTTGTTCACTGATGGGCTTGGCTTTAAAAATTTTGCCTATAAATATGGAGTACCCACAGGGAATGCGGAGGACGACCTCAGTCTGTGGAGATTCTCAAGAGAGAATCTTGTGGATGTTCTCAACAAATCTCCTCCAGTGGTGGCTCTCCAGATTGCGCGCTAAGCCGTAAAATCTTGCCTTGGATACCTGAGACATCTCTTGGATCAAAAACAATTATTCCTATGACTTTTGGTAAAGATAATGCCACATCAATATGCTGAAGGCTAGAACAGTGTGAGAGTATTCAAGTCTTAATTGTTGTTGCTAACTAAAAGCATCTTGAGGTAATCTTCCCTGAAGTGTTCTTGAACTTTGCTCTTTGTGAATATGTGTTTGGTGGTCAAACTTGTTTACTAGTGTCCAAGCTAAGACATGACATGCAGACACATTGTTTTCCTCTTCGATTATTACTCGTGTTTCTCTTTTGTATTTGGTGTCCACTTAAAACAGTGATGGAAATAGTCGTGAGAACTTAGATGATATGATTTTAGACTTTTTAAAGCAACCTGCTTGCATGTGAGTTTGAGTTTGCTTGCAGCACCTAATACTGGTCTGTCAATTATTATTTCTTCACAGCAGTGTAAGACAACAGGAGATACACAGATGAAATCGATGATCAGCAACTGAAGATTTCAAAGAACACGATTGTTGTTAAAAGCACAACAGCTAATAAGTGATCAAAGTTCTACTACTTTTATTAATGTTTTCAAAAAGAAAAATACAACAACAACAAAAAAAAAAAAAACAAAGGAAACAAGAAAGCTAAAAAGAAAATAAAAACAAATGATATTAAGTCCAAATCAGCCAAAAGAGCCACGACATTTGACTGAACCACATAGACAAATCTTCTTGCCTTTATAAAGTATCTCATCTTCTCCATTCTTCTCCACACAAGAAACTCCATAGTCATATGTTAACTCTGTCATTGGAGGAATATGCTTCATTGCAAAAAGTCCAATGCGAACATATGTAACACCGTTGTCTTCATATTCAATAGGCTGCCAAAAAACATTGGGCCAACAGCTGTGGTTCATGAACCGACCTACATTTCCTTTCTCCTTGGCACTTATCAAGACTTGTGTCGGAAGATTGATAACTTCAGAGACCTGTTTTGAAGCATCTTCACGCAAAAGCTGAGGTTCATAGTTCCATATGAAGGTATGATAAATCCGAGATGTGTCGAACAAGTAATCGTCATCCTCTTCTACTTCTTCTTTTGTCTTGCTCACACCGGCAAACTCGCAGATAAAAGTTCCCGCTCGGATTGGATCCCAAGAACGTAAACCCCAACCACAGTTTGCTGTTTTGAACACTTCCAAGTGGAGCTTCAAACCGGTTTGAACCAATCGGTTTGGGCAATCGATGGGGCAGGGACAAGATCCACCACACTCGTAAATCAATGGTTTACGAGAAACCAAAATGTTGTTATGGTATGGTAGCTCGCCACCGTTTTTACCCATGCACGAGCAGTTTTGATGACTGCATGACTCACAATTCTGGCATCCAAGTGATTGAATATCAACATTAAGATCAAACATCATACCTGAGTAACACTGAGATCTAATGTAGTCAAAATCTTCAGGAATCGTTTTGTCATCTTCATCAACTTCATTAACGAGCGGAACTCGTAAAACCTCTGCTCCAAAAGAAAGATCTCCAAGTATAGAACCATTTCTTGGATCAATCAAGTCATGGTTCCTCAAAATTTCAACTGATTTCCAGATTGCATAACCAGATGGTTGGTCTGGTTTCCTCACCAATTTGAATCTGAACTCCTTAAAGCCAGATTTTCCTATCACATGCTCGAAATCAGAAACCAGATAAAGTCCATCGTAGATAAATACCTTCTCATTGTTATGCTTCTCCAGTCTAACGACTCTAACGTCATTCCCTTTTCTTAACTTGCTTCTAGTGCAACGGTTTCCATATTTTCAGAACCTGATCACATGGTTGACGGTTCTTGCCCTTTCCGTCTTGTCCGATATAGATCAAAGTGTCAAGCTCCTCGGTTTCATCATCGTACTGTCCTGATGTTACCACACTCGTAGCAGCATGACCATCCACTCCACTCCTTTTAGCTGACAGATAATCAATGCCCGCGGCCATGTCTCTGTGAAGACCGACTAAGCACATTTCACCCCAGTAGTAGAATATATCGCCTACTTGTACTCCAGGAATTGGACCAATTCTTCTCGTCATATTTGTCCGGACTCCCAATCTCATGCAATTAGTTGACGCTGTTGTAAGGATGTCTTTTGGCTGGTTTACTTGGTGTAATCGCCGTCTAATCGCGTCAAACCGCATCAACACCGAAGCAACAATCTCAAGGTTTCCGCTTTCTCTCTCTGCTTTGGTTATCCCTGAATCAAATTTTGGACAAGATTTAATCAGTTTGCTATTAGGATCATATGCTTTTGGCTTCTTTGGCTTTCTCGTCCCGTTTTTTGAACCCTTTGGTCGGCCACGTCCTCGTTTTCTTGGACCAGTACTAGGACCAGCACCCCCATCATAAGAGTTGTTGTTGAAGTCATCAAATACCATTAGGGTTGGAGGTGGTGAGACCATTACTGTAGTTAATACTGATGTGTTCTGATTGTCTACAAAATCTTGTCGTCACTGGTGTTGCCTCGATCAGGATAGACTTATCCGTTTTAAAAGAAATCCTATCATTCAAAAAAAAAAAAGTTAGAGATCAATCATAATTAAAGAAAATATTTAAAACTTCGTCCAGTCATTAATAACTTGATTATTTTTAAACAATAGTAGATAGAAAGAACGCTCGTAAAGAAACCTATTGAAACCAAAGAAATATAGCCCTGCCTATTTTGTGACAATATTGTGACGTCAATATTCAAACCGCATATATTATTATAAAATTACATAACAATATGTTTGGATCTGAATTTTTTTTTGAATATCTGGAAGTTCAAGCCGAAAGGCCTTACATCTCCCAGAAGCAGGATCCACACCAAGTTAAATTCATCTCCTTTGGAGAAAAGATCCCTCCCAACGGGTGTCGAACCCAATACCTCCACCTGGGAGATTTACCACTGGGCCAACACAACGTTGGTGTTTAGATCTGAATTATATAGCAATGATCGACTCGACTAAGAAGAACTCTTAATCAATTTGGAATCTTCAAAATCAAAGTGCAAATAAATAAATAAATCATATATATATATATATACCTCAACACGAACTGTACATAAAACATGAAAATATTGAAACAACAAATCAAATAAGCAGGTACCTTAATAAAACCGAAAAATGAGATCTAAAATTCTTCAAAGAACACGAACCGAAGGAGGAGGGAAAACATGAAGTAGGAAATAAACGAAGAATTAAAAGAAATGTCACGAACGGGAAATGGTTAAGGTAGCGAAGCTAGAATGGTTTATGTGATATTTGAGAGTAGATATGAGCGAAAATATAATCCCCTATTTAAAGGAAATAAAGATGACGTGTTATTGTTTACAAGAAGAATGATGGCCGTTAGATTCATCTCTACCGTCCAATTTTAAATCATTAAAAATTTTAGATTTTTTTCTTTGTTATTCAATGTATCTTAGTTTACCCATTAATGTTTTAAAACTTTTGCCTAAAAATAGTTAACATAAAAGTGAAATATCTCTACTTTCCCATTTTAAATCATATTTCTACATATATGTAGTTTATTCAACTCTCTCTAAAAAGTAAATGGTTTAACATAAAGTATTAAGTATTACGCGCTCTAATTAAATTTTGAATATGACTGTAGAAGTTTGCATTTTAAGAAGATATATCTTTGCAGAAAGATTTGACTTATTTTTATTAAGTGTCAAACCTAGGATGTCAAAATGGATCAAGATTCATAGGTCAACTCAACTCAACTCAACTCAATACATGAATCCTAATGAGTTTGAATTTTTGACTCAAATGGATTGATGAATCAAATTAGTTGGGTTGTAATGGGTCAATGGTTTCAATAGTTTACCCATTTAACCCATCACTAGGATATGACCCGCGGTATACCGCGGGTTAATTATTTGATTTTTTTATCTTTTTATAAGTTGATGAATTTGTTGTGTATAATATTTTTTGTTCTACATCGCGGGTCATATGCGTTGTATCTAAAAAATAAAAAATTTAAGTTGTATTTGTTTTATTTAGTATTTAAGATTGTATAATTGCATTTTGATTTGTTAATTCTAGAATTTCACCCGTGGTATATTGTCCCGTATTAATATCGACCCAAATCCGTCCCACCATATAATCCCGTCTTGTGGAATTAAACATCATTTTGTTATTTACTTAATAACACTTTTATTTAAAAAAAACATATAATTCGAGTCAATTTAAAAGTTTGCTTTCAAATGGTTTTCATTATATATATATATATTTTTAAATTAGTGTGTGTGTTTTTACCAACCCTTAAAAATAATTTATAATTGTATCTTAAAATACTAAATACTTCTATTTTGATTTGTTAATTTTAAGATTTCACCCGTAGTATACTGTCCCGTTTCAGATAATTGTAGCAATTAAGGAAAGATCCGAATGACTCAATTTCGGGTTAGAATAAAAAAAAAACGACCTAATTAAATGCGCAATTAGTTATTCAAAAATGTTAATATAGATTACACACATATATTTTTCTTCATCGATTGAGTAATATATGTTCGTTTTAAAAAATTTGAATCATAACATATGTAGAAAAAAAAACTAAAATTTATTAACAATATATATTTTATAATAATTCAAAATAATATAAATATAAGATCAAATAAAAGTGAAATGAGAATTATATATTTATGTTTAAATTAGGTAGAGAGGTTTTAGGAAATTAGTTTAAATTTATTATATTAACATTAAATCTTCATATTTGATTTCCTTACCTATAAAAAATCGTAAAAAACATACCATAATTAAAGAGTCTAGATATAGTAATTAGTTGAGAAAATATATATATTTTAGATTTATTAATTAATTTTGTTTTTGAATTTTGCCAAAATTTAAGGAAATATCCGATTGAAGATTTCCGGGTCAAAATCAGAAAAAAAACCCGACCCGATTGGAAGGAGCAAATTTGTACTTCAAAAATGTTAAGTAGATTTTTTGTTAAATTGAATCAAACCAATTCAAATCTCTAAACCGATATCAATTTGAGTCTAACCAAAATTTCTAAACCAATTGAATATAATCATTTTCCCGCCAAAGATGTGAATACTCAATTTTCCCCCAAAAACATAAATTCATAATTTTTCCGCCAAAAACGTAAATCCGCAGTTTTCCCGCCAAAGAAGATTCACAATTTTTAACCAAAAACGATAATGTGCAATTTTCTAGCCAAAAACGTAAATCTGTAATTTTTCAGCCAAAAACATAAATCCGTAATTTTTCCGTCAAAAACGTAAATTCGTGATTTTCCGCCAAAAACGTAAATCCATGATTTTTCTGCCAAAAATGTAAATCCGTAGTTTTTCTACTAAAACGTAAATCCGTGATTTTTCCGCCAAATAATAGTGATAATGATGGCTATTATTATTACTAGGTTATGAACCTCCGCGATGTCGCGGGAGAACTCATTTTAAACAAATATATTTTATTGTATTTATGTATTAAATTATTATGATAATATATTCAATATTTAAATTATTACATAAAATAAACTATGTTTTAAAATTATGTTAAAACAATTTATGAATAAAAATATAAAAAAGAAGAATTATGATTAAAAACACTTTTGAAATATTTTTTATGCATATAAAGTTATTTATAAGTGATAAAATACATAATGAAGAGTTATAATATAGAGATGTGAAATTCTAGCGGATTAAAACCAAAAAGACATAAAAAACGTAACCGGAAAAATTATTGTTAACGAAAAAGGTAACCGCCAATATTTTAACGAAGAGTTGCAATAAAATGACATAACCGAGAAAAAATAACCGTCAATATTTCAACGGAAAGTTACGATAAAAAGACACAACCGAGAAAAAAAGAACTGTCAATATTTTAACAAAAAGTTGCGATAAAAAGACAAAACCAAAAAAGTAACTGTCAATATTTTAACGGAAAGTTACGAGAATAAGACACATACGAAAAAATAACCATCAATGAAAAATGTAACTGTAAATATTTTAACGAAGAGTTGCGATAAAAATACACCACCGAAAAAAAATAACAGTTAATATTTTAACGGAAAGTTGCGATAAAAAGACATAAACAAAAAAAATTAACCGTCAATATTTTAACAGAAAGTTGCGATGAAAAGACACAACCAAACAAATAACCGTCAACGAAAAAAGTAACCGTCAAATTTTAACGAAGATTTGCGATAAAAATACACAACCGAGAAAAACTAACCATCAGTATTTTTACGGAAAGTTGCGATAGGAAGACACAACCGAGAAAAAATAATCGTCGATATTTTAACAGAAAGTTACGAGACTAAGACACATACGAAAAAATTACCGTCAATGAAAAATGTAACTGTAAATATTTTAACGAAGAGTTGCGATAAAAATACACCACCGAGAAAAAATAACAGTTAATATTTTAACGAAAAGTTGCGATAAAAAGACACAAACAAAAAAAATAATCGTCAATATTTTAACAGAAAGTTGGGATAAAAAGACACAACCAAACAAATAACCGTCAACAAAAAAGTAACCGTCAAATTTTAACGAAGATTTGAGATAAAAAGACACAACCGAGAAAAGATAACCGTCAGTATTTTAACGGAAAGTTGCGATAGAAAGACACAACCGAGAAAAAAGAATCGTCGATATTTTAACGGAAAGTTGCGATAAAAAGACACAAACGAAAAAATTAACCATCAACATTTTAACCGAAAATTACGATAAAAGGACACAATCGAAAAAATAACCGTCAACGAAAAATGTAATAACTTGCAACAAAATATTGGACTTAACATTCTACACACTAAGACCATTTCCAACGGGGATGCCTCACCCAATGTCTTGTAATTAAAATAATGAAAAAAATAGAAAAAAGAGGAGAGAGAAGGAGACATGTTTCTCTTGCGAGAAATCCTTAGACATTCTTAAAAAGCCATTTTGCCAAGTGTTTTAATTTTATTGGTGTAATTTAATTAATTGTTTCAAATTTAATCAAAAAATAAAATCATAATAACAATAATATTTTATATTCATCAGATACACTTTTTTGAGACACTCATTGATGGAGATGCTCTAATATATTTTCGCGGTTGATTAGTTTCTTCTAACATGAATGAATCGCTCTTCATCATCTTATGAATTATGATGCACTGGTTTTAAGCAAAAATGATTCAATTGAATATATGACATAATTATAATACAAACCAGACACAAGAGACCCTCTGTGTCAACCAGAAGCTCTCTCTTACTTAGCTTACAATCTTCTGTGTCTCTGTCACTTCTAGGGTTCTAGACTTTTACTCCACACTTCCACAGTTTGGGTACCAAATTGAATAATCGATTCTCTCATTCCAGTATCTGTTGACAAATCTTGTTCTTGATAGTTACTTTTCTCTGTTCATGTTTGTTTACAGTTCTACTTTTTCTTACAGGTTTCTGAAATTGCAGCAATCAGCAAACATGGCACCGAGAAACAAGACATCAACCATGATTTGGGTACAGACTCTTTCTCTTCTTAGACTATCTCCAATGTATTTCCTTATTTTTACCTCTATCTCTATAATAGAGGTGGGTTTTCTCTATTTCTACTCCAATGTATTCCTCTATTTTTGCCTCTAAAAAAGAATATTCTAAATAGATTCTTTTTATTAATTTAGTATTAATACTTTTAATTTATAAAGTTGCAAATTAACCCATTTACTTTAACTCTTACAAAACTTTCATAAAATGTTATTATTATTCAAATTAAACATTTATTAAGAAAAAAAACATAACATCATTTTAAAAAAAACATAGTAGATTTTCTTTATCCATCGGCATTAGTGTATTTTTCCCACAAATGATCAATTAATGCATTTCGAAGTGAAAAATGAGCTTCTTTATCTTTGATTTTTCTAAATCGACCAAGAAACTCTTGGAACCGGATATCATCATCTTCTGCTATTTGGACGGTTGGAGGTGAAACTTCTCTTTCGACTTCAATCGGGGCATCGAGATCACGCTCATCTTCGATTATCATGTTATGTAAAATTATACATGTAGTCATTATGTCATGTAACACATTTTTATTCCAAAAACATACCAGCCCTTTCAAAATAGCAAAACGCGATTGTAGTACTCCAAATGCTCGTTCTACATCTATTCTGCATCCTTCTTGTTGTGTCGCAAAATATTTGTTCTTTGGACCTCTTGGCTCATGAATAGTTTGTACTATGGTAGACCATTTTGGATATATACCATCAGCCAAGTAATAACCCATAGTGTATTCCTTTCCTTGAATGATATAATGAACAGGAGGAGTAATACCTTGAGCGAGTCTGGAGAAAAGATGGGAAGACTCGAGTACATTGATATCATTATTAGTGCCTGGCAATCCGAAATATGCATGCTATATCCAAAGATCGTAATCTGCTACAGCTTCAAGAATTATAGTAGGTGATCCATTACGGCCTGAATATTGTCCTGCCCAAGCAGTAGGACAATTTTTCCATTTCCAGTGCATGCAATCTAGGCTACCAAACATTCCGGGGAAACCTCGTTTTTCAGCAATGTAAAGAAGTCTCGAAACATCATTAGGTGTTGGTGATCGTAGATATTCTTCTGAAAATATTTCCACTATGGCTCGACAAAACCTCTTCATGCTTTCGATTGTCGTTGATTCGCCTATTTTTATGTACTCGTCTATGGCATCTGCAGGAAGATCATATGCTAGCATCCGAAATACAGCCGTTATTTTTTGAAGAGATGATAATCCAAGTCTACCCATTGTATCTCTTCATTGTGTGAAGTAGTAGTCATGACTTTCGACTTCATGAACAATACGAAGAAATAGAGGACGAGACATACGATATCTCCTGCGAAATATGGCCTCATTGTACTTCCGGGTCTCTGAAAAGTAATCGTTGAACAATCTGTCATGGACACTTTCTCGATCACGGTGGATGAAAGAACGCCCGGGAACCGAACTATCATGAATCGCCTGATTTTCTTGTTGATTGATAAGGAATTGAATAACTGAATTGTTATTAGCGATAGCAAGTTGTAGTGCTTCTTCTTCATGATCACAATTATTGATAATATTTTCATCATCATCTGAAGAGGATGATGAAAGATAAAAATTTGGCAAATTATAATTCATTTTGAGAAAAATACTTCTGAAATAAGTACTTGAATTGTTGTGACTAAAACTAAAAGCTATAGTCGTATTTATAGAAAAAATTTGATGATATTTTTTTATTTTAAAATTTTTCTTTTATTGGAGTTATACACTATGTCCCGTCAAACACAACATTTACAAATACCTATTACAATTTTATTTATTAAAATTTGTGAGTCTCGTCAAACAAACATTCACAAATTCCAAATTAAAACTTTGACCATTGACACATGCGTTCACTACAAGAAACAGGGCCGGTCCTAAGAGTATTGAGGCCTAAAGCATATTAACAAATTGTGGCCTATTCTATTTCTATGACAAATTTTTATCGAAAAGTTATAACTTCGTAGCTTTATCAAATTATAGTAAACTATAATTAACACTATTAAAAATTTATATTTAAATAATTAGAAAATGACTTAATTTTTTTCAAAATATATATATATATATATATATATATATATATACCTAGAGGCACATTACATCATTTGAAGTTATGTAGTTTAACTTCTTGCCTAATACAAATTTTTACTGGTGTGTTTTTTAACTATTAAAAATAATAAAATTACTGAAAATGGTATAAGTATCCAAGAAAGAAACTTGAAAACAAAAATTCTTTTGAAAAAAATATTAATGGAACTTAAATTATATTCAAAGTAGACGTGGATTAAGGAGTCACTATACCAACTTGACCAAATTACCAATACATCATATGGCCCTTAAAACTACTTAAACAAATTGTGGCCTCAAGCATATGCCTTACGTGCTTTATGGAAGGGCCGGCGCTGACAAGAAATGAAGGTATTGATAGCAGTATAGTATAACGTTTTTAACGGTTCTGCTATAGTTGAGTTTTAGAAAAATTTACATAGCGTTTTTGAAAAGGCAAACGCTATGATAGAATCACTACAAAAAAAGTCCACATTGATAGCACTAGACGATAGCGCATTTTCATGAACTGTTATAATAGATGAGTTCGTGATTTTGGTTACTTTTTAATAGCACCTGATAAATGCTAATACCGAAAATCTTTAAGCGGGAAACAAAAATGACCTATTCCGCCAACACTTAGCAAAAATTATTCACTTAAGCCGCCAGTGAGCTCAAATCGATTAATCCTTTATTCACTCTCACATATGGATTCTCCTCATCGTCTTCTCCGTCGTGCATCTCTCCTCCTTCGTTGACACTTGCAACTCCAGCTCTTCATTTCACCTTCACATCTTCTTCTTCTTTAGATCTCTCATCTCACTTTCCTTCCTCTCATTCTTCTACTTCTTCGTCTTTTCCTTTTCTCGCTTCCTTTGTTTCTTTCTATCTCTCTCTCTCTCTCTCTAACTTCTTCTGTCACTTTTACTTATCATTACCCTAATTTTGCAAGGCGTATCAATTGAAATTGAAAAGTTGGTCAAAAACTCTAATTATCCCCTTCGTTCTCAATTCTTTCAATCTTCAATTTCATAAAACCCTAATTTTTAACCTGTTTGTTTTTGGGATATTGGATTTGTCTAGGTTTTGGAATTGGTTGGAAACGCAGCGAGGGATAACAAGAAGACTAGGTTGGTGCCACGTCACATTAATCTTGCGGTGTGGAACGATGATGAGCCGAGCAAGTTGCAAAGGTTTGATTTTAGCCTAATTTTGTTAAGAGGAAATTCAAACCTTTTTGGAGATTTGTGTTCTACCTCATGGAGAAGGTATTGTAATAAATCTTAGGGGTTCTGTTTTAGAGTTCTTTGTGCACACAAGGTGTTCGACGATTTGACTGTGAGATGGAAACCAAGAATATTAAAGTAACTAACTTGGATTTGGTTCAATTTTCGCTAAGGAAGAATGTTGGTGGCTGAGAGATGGAGATTCAATAGAGGAAAAGCCAGGTTCGTACATTTAGTCATTTTGATTGTTTAGTGATTTTTCTTTCTTAGTGTGACAATCTCTTTAAGACTCTACGTAAAAGAAAATGTCTTTTTCAATTGTGAAAAAGGGTATGACGTATAGGCTATGAAACTCTTTCAATGTTCTTCTTTTAATTCAGGCTATTCATGGTAAAAAAAACTTCTACAAGATGGAACTTGGAGTAAAGGTATGTATACTCTTGAACTCTAATGACAAAGAAGTCGGAAACATAAGCTTTAAGTTGATGATAATACACATGATTAAGGGGAATATAGATAAAGTTTTATCATTATGCTTAAATATGTAAGTACTTGATTTGGGTTTTATGATTATCACCAAAGTTTTATCATTATGCTAAATTTTGTAAAATTTTAATTATCTATAAATTGACTTTCATCGGTGATAAACAAGAGTGCTAATTGTTTTATAGTGTTCAATGTGATATTTTGCAAAGGATCAAAAGGTGACCAGAGACCAGTAAATTAGATGACCTTGACCTAACACGAGACGAGCTACAAAAGAAAGAGATTCTCAAGAAACTCATGTCTGAGGTAAACTTTGCATCCTCCTATAGCATCTCTATCTTCAATTCTTATCACATTGTTTTCTTGTCTAAGAATGTGAGGCTATAAAGTAGGAAACATGGAACACTAAGATACATCATACATGTGATGTGACTAAGATTATTCAACATTTTTGATGTATTGCTTGATTAGCTGTTGATTGTCTTCACTTATGTAATGAACTTTGGTGTTTTGTTCAGTTGGAGACCTTAATCATCTCATTTCTGCAACTCTGATAGATGCAGTTCTTGGAGACCTTAATCAACTTGAGCATGGGGAGAGGAACAGGAGAAAGCTAGTTAGGCTTCAAGAAGTTCGTCTCTTTCCTTCACCTCTAAAAGTTGCTTGCTTTTACTATTTTAAGCTAGTTGGCATCAGGAAGTTTATCTCTATCTTTGTTAGTTTTATTTTGTTTTAATACTTGGCAGCACTTACGATATTAGTATAGGATTTGTATTAATCTATTAATCTTTGTACTTTTACTTTTAAAATTTTGTATTTATACTTTGTAATATACTATTTGTATTATGATTTCATATAATATAATAAAATATTGAAATTTTAATATGTCAATTTATCCAAAAAACCTAATAAATTAAAATTAAATATAATTAAAAATTGATAAATCGAAATAATGTATAATACAAATGCTATTTTAGTGGAATAAAATTGCATATTATAAATGCTATTTTAATTAAATAAATTGCATATTATAAATGCTATTCTAATTGATTAAATTGCATATAATAAATGCTGTAATTTAATAATTAATAACAAAATATACTTGCTATTAAAAAATATTACATTGCATAAAAGAATACGCTATAATATATAAATAAAATATAGCAATACAAAAAAACGCTATCGAAAGCCGTCGACCTATTATCATGGACGAAGATATAACGTTTTCTACTTCGCTATCGTTTCGTTAGATAGCGTTATTTGGCCGCTAAGAATACTCAATTTTCCTGTAGTGGTTGGTAAGTTGAGAAAGACGACACCATGGACACATGCATGCGTTGAGCCCTTTATTTAATTTTTGGTTCGTAGACATTTTTTTATCGACGTAATTTTAAGTTGAGCAAAGTATTGGAGTCATACATTATCTCTGGTCAAACACAACACTCACAAGCCCCGATTAAATTTTATTTATTAAAAGATTTTATATTTGGTCAAACAAAATATTCACAAACTCCAATTAAAAACTTTGTCCGTTATAGTTTACACATGCATTGGTTAATTAGTTGTGTATGACTAGACAAAACCATGCACTGGTCATAGATGTGTGTAGACAAACATTAAGTAATTTCGTACCATTGCATCTATAAATATGACCATAGTTAAACTCTTTGCATTCACAACTCTATAGTTGAACTCTTTGCATCACAACTCTAAAATATTTCGATAATATCTATATTTATTAATAAAATGTCTCGTTCTTCTGGATACTCTGATGAAGAAGATAGATTGTTATGTGAAGTTTATATGCAAATTTCTCAAGATCCAATTCTAGGAGTTTATCAATCATCCGATCAGTTTTGGGATCGTGTGATCGAAGCTTTCGAGAAAGAAAAAAATACAACTTGGAATCAACGTTCCAAACAATCAATTCAATCTCGGCTTCAAACAATTCAGAAGGCAACCAAAAAATTACATGCATACATAAGACAATGTGAAAACAGGCGTCAAAGTGGTGTTTCAAATGATGATATTGTAAGTATTAATATATTATTTATAAATTTATTTATTTGATTATTATTTTTTTGCTATGAATGTTTTAAATATTTTTGGTTTTAGATTTTTTTGTCGAAAAAAATTTAATTGTTTAAAACATACTAAAGTGATTATTACTTTAATTAAAAATTCTATAATGTTTACATAATGATATTTATTGTTAAATATAAAACTGTGGATTTTTTTTTTTATGCTATGCAGTTGAATCAAGCCAAAATAATGTTTAAAGATGATCCAAGTATTATAGGAGGTTGGAAATATGAGCATGTTTGGGATATTGTTAAGAACTTTGAAAAGTTTAAAGATGGTGTTCCCCGTCCTAAACGTTTATCTATCCCAATTCGTTTGGAGCATACATCTTTGGAATCAGAAAATCCTACCATTGATTCTCCTACACAAGCATCTCCACATTTATCTGCTTCTTCACTAAATTTAATGATGATGGGATTATTAGTGGATCTCCCTCTCCACGACCACTTGGGGTAAAAAAATCAAAAATGAAAAGAAAAATTGGTGAGCAAACAACATCAATCATCAACACCCTAGAAGTAGGAAACAAGTAATTTTTGGAGCAATTGAAGATGGCAAGTGAACAAAGACAACAACAATTGGAGATTCAAAGTAAAAACTATGCTTTGAAAGAGCTCAAGGAAGAAAACAAAATTTTACTTTGTGACTTAAATACTATGGATCCAAATGTTCGTGGATATTTTCAAGCTGAACAAGCACGGATTTTACAAAAACGGAGTGATCAACAAAAAAACCAACTAGCTCAGCCTCCATCTACTTCGTTTGGTTCGTTTGGACAATATTTCAACGATATTGGTGGACCCGAAAGCAATTTACCAGAGTATTAATTAATTAATCTTTGTTGTATTAAAAATAATTATTATGAAATGATTTTTTTTTATATATATATAATATAAGATTTTATATAATTTATCTTTTGCAAATAGTAGTCTCAAATTTAAGAATAAGTTTTTAAATCAAAACCTCTAAAAGTAACCCAAAATATTAGTTTTATTTATTTTAATTAGAAATAAAAGGAAAATAAAAGTTAAAGAACCATTTTGCAAATAAAAAAGTTTAACTCTATTTATAGAGGAAGAAATAGAGATCTCTATATATAGAGAAAAAATAGAGATCTCTATTTTAGAGGTGAGAATAGAGGTGGGTTGTAGTACATTTGTCTCAAAAATAGAGTATAGAGGCAAATATAGAGGTGGGTTGGAGATGCTCTTACGGTACAAAAATTGATAAAGTTTAAAAAATAAAATTATCGAGTTCTTGAACTGGATTTGATTCCCCAGTTTCAATACAAGATTGTTTGTTATGCGATTAATCTTCTTTGTTCATGTTTTAATTTGTCTTTTAGGTTAGGAAATCGAAACAATCAGCAAACATAGCAAAGGAAAAGAAGAGATCGTTGCTAGAATGATCTCCTCTTCTCAAAGAGCTACCGAAAAGTTCCAAGGTACCAACTCTTTTCTCTCTTCTTAATCTCTATGATTTCATGTAAAAAGATTTTGTGATCTCTGATAGTCTGATGTTATGGTGATGTTCTAGGTTCAACATTTTGTAGTTCTAAGCAGGGGCGGAGGTAAGAAGGGGGGAGTGGGGTCACATGACCCCTATAAATTTTATATATTAGTTATTTTTAGTGTAAATTTGATTAAATTTGAGGAAATATTTGGTTAAAATTAGTGTTTGACCCTTATAAATTTTTGTTCTAACTTCCAAATGACCCCCTTTAATTCATATAATTTTTCAATTTATTGTTCATCATAAAAATTTTGTATTATGTTGACCCCTATAAAACTTGTTTCTAGATCCGCCACTGGTTCTAAACTGTCCCGTTGCCCTGTTGTCGCTTTGGAAACCGTGTCTAGATGTTACTAGATCTTGTTATATCACACGGTGAAGGTGAAGGTGAAGAATTCAGAGTCATCAGATTTTACTTGGACGTCGCAGAATGATTGCAAAATGCTTTGTTACCAGCTTCCCTGAAGTGTTCTTGAACTTACTTTGCTCTATTTTGGCAAGTTGTGAATGATGTGTTTGGTGGTCAAACTAGTTACTAGTGTCGGAGCTATAAGAGAGGGGAAGACAGACACAGTGTTCTCCTCTTCGATCAAAAGGGTGAGAAAATGCAGCTTCGATTTTCATTTTAATTTGTCTAACTTGTTGGGATAATGTGTCAAAAAAGCAGTGTTAATAATCATTTGAAGAATTATCAGAGTAGAAAGCAGTTTCTTGTTTGCTCTCTTTCAGGTATGTTTTGTCTTTTGGCTTTAAAATGTTTTGATTCCTTTTAGCATTGACAATAGATTTTGGTGTATTTCTATATAAGTTTTCTTTGTTCATTAGATAATCCTTGGTATTAAAATTGCTTGTTTTGGGTTAATCAGGCGTGTCGTTGACGTCAACTGTTGAGTTAAGCTTGAGCTAAAAGCCTTTTGTTCTTTGGTTAAAGTTAACTTGAGGTATGAGTTAACTTGTGGATAAAGATAAAGTTTAGAAGTTATCTTAAACTTAAGATAATATCTTTGTAAACCCTAAACGAGTTATGTTTAAGTCGGTTTCAAGTTTGTAGTCGGTTTAAGTTTGTGTGTATATATATGAGATACCATTGTGTGGTAATCCATATGAGAAGTTTATGAGTTTGTGTTGTAGAGATTAAGAGATTGTGTGAGACCTTTGTTTTGAGTTAGTTTCAAAGGTAATAAGAAAAGTTGTTCTTATACACATAAGTCTTGATCAAAAGGTTTTACTTAGGGTTCTTAAACAATAATTGGTATCAGAGCCAACTATTGAACTATAACCCTAATCGGAGAAGAAACAGAGCTATTGCTCTGACACCAGAAGAAACAGAGCTATTGTTTCTTGGTATATTGAAGTCACGATGGGAGATCTAATCCCGGCAGGTACGGGTATCAAGGAAGGAGGTAATTCATCCTCTATTAAGTGTCCGATGCTAACCACAACAAACTATACGTACTGGACTATACGTATGACCATGGCTCTAAGGGTTCATAAAGTTTGGGACGCTATAGAACCTGGATCAGAGGATATTGACAAGAACAACATGGCTAGTGCTCTTCTTCTGCAATCTATCCCTGAAGCATTAACACTGCAAGTCGGGAAACTAAACACTGCAAAGAAGATATGGGATGCAATTAAATCTAGGAATCTAGGAGCTGATAGGGTTAAAGATGCAAGATTACAAACCCTAATGGGTGAGTTTGAGAGAATAAAGATGAAAGAAAGTGAGAAGATTGATGACTTTGCTGGTAGAATCTCAGAATTATCTACAAAATCTGAATCTCTTGGACATGACATCGAAGAACCAAAGCTTGTAAAGAAGTTTCTAAACGGATTACCTAGGAAAAGGTACATACATATAATAGCCGCACTTGAACAAGTTCTTGATTTAAACAACACTACGTTTGAAGATATAGTTGGAAGGATAAAAGCGTATGAGGAAAGAATCTGCGATGAAGAAGATAATCAAGAAGATCAAGGAAAACTAATGTATGTCAGTTCTGAGACACAACCATGGTACACAAACAGAGGAAGAGGACAAGGTGGCAGACGAGGAAGAGGAAGAGGTCGTTCTGGTTATCCTCAAAACAATGGTTACCAACAGAACAGAGATACAAGCAAAATAACATGTTACAGATGTGATAAGCTAGGTCACTATGCATCAGATTGCCCTGACAGGCTGCTTAAACTTCAAGAAACACAAGAAGCCAATGCTTCAAAGAATGGTGACACACAAGTAGCTGATGCTCTAATGATGCATGAGGTTGTGTATTTGAATGAGAAAAACTGTGTACCAAATAAGTTTGAAACCAGTTCAGACAATGAGAACATTTGGTACTTAGATAATGGTGCCAGCAACCATATGACAGGTATACTAGCTTATTTTTCTAAACTTGATGAATCAGTTACTGGCAAAGTCAGATTTGGTGATGATTCTCGAATCGATATCAAAGGAAAGGGCTCAATAACGTTTGTTGCAAAGAATGGGGATAAAAGAATTCTACATGATGTTTACTACATCCCGGATTTAAGAAGTAATATTGTGAGTCTTGGCCAAGCCACTGAGTCAGGTTGCGATGTTAGAATGAAAAATGATTATCTGACTCTGTATGACAAAAATGGCAAGCTTCTGGTCAAGGCTTTAAGATCTAGAAACCGACTTTACAAGGTGGGCTTGGAAGTCGAAAACACTAAGTGTTTGCAAATTGGGAGCTCTAACTCTAAATGGCACGCCAGACTAGGGCACATCGGAACAGAGACCCTTAAGACAATGGTGGAGAAAGAACTTGTCTTTGGGATCCCACACATGAAAGTTGAAAAAGAGATATGCCCTTCATGTTTACTTAGAAAACAAACTAGGAAATCTTTCCCACAAGCCACTTCATTTAGAGCAGAAGGCATTCTTGATCTTATTCACGGGGATCTCTGCGGACCCATCACGCCCCCTACACCATCAAGAAACAGATATATTTTCGTTTTAATTGACGACTACTCACGATACATGTGGACACTCCTTCTAAAAGAGAAAAGTGAAGCTTTTAACAAATTCAAAAGTTTTAAAACTTGTGTTGAAAAGGAAACCAGAACTACTATCAAAACACTGCGAACTGACAGGGGTGGCGAGTTTCTTTCAGCTGAATTTCAAGCTTATTGTGATGCTTCTGGTATACAAAGACACCTAACTGCACCATATTCTCCCCAACAAAATGGTGTCGTCGAGAGGAGAAACAGGACACTAATGGGAATGACTAGAAGCATTTTAAAACACATGAATGTTCCAAACTATTTGTGGGGAGAAGCTGTCAGACATGCAACATATATCATCAACAGAGTGTCAACGAGAAGTTTGATTCATCAGACTCCCTATGAAGCATTCAAAAAGAAGAAACCAAATATAGAACATTTGAAAGTTTTTGGTTGCATTGGATATGCAAAAACAGAACCTGCACATCTGAAAAAGCTCGATGATCGATCAAAAATGCTAGTGCATTTAGGAACTGAACCAGGATCTAAAGCCTATCGCTTACTTGATCCAACAAAGCAAAGAATAGTAGTAAGTAGAGATGATGTGTTTGATGAAGAGACAAGTTGGCAGTGGAACAATACTGAGAAAGATAGTAATTTTGAGATAAGTTTTGGTGAATTCGGGAACAATGGTATAAGGGAGGATGTTACTGTAACAGAAACAGAAAATAATAAGGATGGTGAGAGAATAGAACCAATAGAAAACACTGGTAACACTGAAAACACTGAGCATGTTTCTTCTACCAGAAACCATGAAAACAGAGAAGATAGAGAACAACCACAGCCAAAGCTAAGAAGGTCAGAAAGAGAATCAAAGAAACCAGGCTACTTAGAAGACTATGTCCTACTTGCAGAATATGAAAGTAAAAGACTTCTACTTGTTATAAATGAAGAACCATGGGATTATAATGAGGCAAAAGAATCCAAGGAGTGGATAGATGCATGTGTAGAAGAAATCACTTCCATAGAGAAAAACAGAACATGGGATCTAGTAGACCTTCCCATAAATGCAAAACCAATAGGGTTAAAATGGGTGTTCAAAATTAAAAGAAATGCTAATGGAAGCATAAACAAGTACAAAGCAAGACTAGTAGCAAAGGGTTATGTACAAAGACATGGGATTGATTTTGATGAAGTCTTTGCACCTGTGGCTCGCATTGAGACTATTCGTTTTATTGTTGCTCTAGCAGCTTCCTATGGCTGGGAAATACACCATCTTGATGTGAAAACTGCGTTTCTTCATGGAGAACTAAAGGAAGTGGTATATGTTACACAGCCTGAAGGTTTTATAATAGATAGAAGCCAAAACAAGGTGTATAAACTGAATAAAGCACTCTATGGACTTAAGCAAGCTCCTAGAGCTTGGAACACAAAGCTAAATACAATTCTCTTAGAATTGGGTTTTGTTAAATGTTCAAAGGAGCCATCCATATACCAAAAGAAGGAAAAAGAAGAGCTCCTTGTTGTAGCAGTCTATGTAGATGATCTACTTGTCACAGGATCCAACTTAAATATGATACTTGAATTCAAGAAGGGTATGGCAGGGAAGTTTGAGATGAGTGACTTAGGAAAGCTCACCTATTATCTTGGAATTGAAGTTACTCAAACTGAGAATGGCATTCTTTTGAATCAAGAGAGATATGCAAAGAAAATTCTTGAAGAAACTGGTTTTGATTCTTGCAATGCAGTTCATATACCAATGTGTGCCAATCTGAAGTTAAGTAAAGCGCAGGAAGAAAAGGGAATTGATGAAAAAGAGTATAGGAGAAGTATCGGCTGCCTCAGGTATTTACTGCATACAAGACCAGACTTGTCATACTGCGTTGGAGTATTAAGCAGGTATATGCACGAGCCAAAAGAGTCTCATGGAGCTGCTTTAAAACAAGTTCTCAGGTACTTACAGGGAACTCAGTCTTATGGACTCTGTTTTAACCGAGGGGACAAGACAGAGCTAATAGGATTCAGTGATAGTAGTCATAATGTAGATGAAGATGATGGCAGAAGCACTACTGGTCATATTTTCTACCTTAATGACTGTCCTATTACGTGGTGTTCACAAAAGCAAGAGACTGTTGCACTCTCGTCCTGTGAAGCTGAATTTATGGCTGCTACTGAAGCAGCAAAGCAGGCCATTTGGCTCCAAGAACTCTTACAAGAAGTTATTGAGAAACAGTGTGAAAAAGTGGTGATTCTTATTGATAACAAATCGGCAATAGCACTAACAAGGAATCCAGTGTTTCATGGCCGAAGCAAACATATTCACAAGAGGTATCATTTTATTCGGGAATGTATTCAGAATGAGTTGGTTGAAGTTGAACATGTTCCCGGTGAACTACAAAAGGCGGATATTCTTACAAAAGCTCTCGGGAGAATCAAGTTTAAAGAAATGAGAGATCTTATAGGAGTCCAAGATGTTAAAGAAAAGGCTCTCAAGCTTAAGGGGGTGAATGTTGAGTTAAGCTTGAGCTAAAAGCCTTTTGTTCTTTGGTTAAAGTTAACTTGAGGTATGAGTTAACTTGTGGATAAAGATAAAGTTTAGAAGTTATCTTAAACTTAAGATAATATCTTTGTAAACCCTAAACGAGTTATGTTTAAGTCGGTTTCAAGTTTGTAGTCGGTTTAAGTTTGTGTGTATATATATGAGATACCATTGTGTGGTAATCCATATGAGAAGTTTATGAGTTTGTGTTGTAGAGATTAAGAGATTGTGTGAGACCTTTGTTTTGAGTTAGTTTCAAAGGTAATAAGAAAAGTTGTTCTTATACACATAAGTCTTGATCAAAAGGTTTTACTTAGGGTTCTTAAACAATATCAACATGGTCACCTTTTAACTTATGTGAATCACATTTTGCAAAAGATTAAGTGTGTTGTTGAAAGTTCACAATTTGCAATCACTCCTCTTCCACATATGTGTTTGCCAAAACGAGAATTGTGTTGCATACCAGAATCAAACTTGTATTCAAAGTAATAATGTGAATATGAATTTCAACGGCTGTCGTTTTTTTTTTTTATTCCTATCAAACACTATTTCAACTCGCTCTCAAACTTAAGTCGCACTTGGTTGTAAAAACGTAATTTTTCTTTTGAATATAATTTAACATTAGATTCAAATTCAAAAAAAAAAATATATATAATGTGAATATGAATTTCACAAGATCTAACTGAAGGTATACATAGTGATACAAAAAAAGATAAACCCTAATTAGTAGTATCTTAAAGTCTACGACACTATAACAATTGTGAAACCCCTACATTAACTACATGGTCACTACAAAAACAAAACCTAATTTGAAACCCTAACTAGACTTCCAACACACGGATCAACTAAAATATACAACCATACACACACAAAAAAACCATGTTTTGAAACCCTAATTATTAGACTCTGTTTCACTTTTGCTACTGGTAAACAGGTTGGCGACAAAGAGGGCATGAATTATGTTGTCGATTCAACCACTCGTTGAGACATCCTTGATGAAACAGATGCGAACAATTATGCATATGGTAGATAGATCCCGACTCCAACATATCCTCCAGACATATCGCACATGTCTCTGTTTCCACCAAATCTGTTGTCGACGGAGCACAATTACAAGACACAACTTTGAATACCTTGCGTGTAAATCTGACGGAGACTCCCATGAATAAGGGTTGTTGTGGCAAGTGATCAGAACTTTGATCACTTCTTAGCTCTTGTGCTTTAACAACAATCTGGTCAGATATTTGTTTGGACAAGACATGGTCGTGGAGTTGGGTATGGACAAGTTGATGGAGGTAGTTTGGTTCGAAGCTTTGGAATTTGAGATAGATTAGTGGGTCGGAAGGAGGAGAGTCCGGGTAAGATCCGAGACTCGTGACACTATCATCGTTGTCGTCTATGATGAATTCCTCGACTTTTCTGGGTCGAATGATTATTAACTCGTTTAAGAAGCCTGAAGATGGAGTAAATAAAACAAAGCCGTTACATTAACATCGACGTTGAGTGAATTGGTTTCCATTATCGGAGAGTGAATTAAGACAACAAATTGAGAGAAAGAGAGATGATATCAGTCGTAAGAGATTGGAAAAAGAGAAGAGATTGTTGAGAAATAGGAAATTGTGGAGAAGTCAAGTGTAATGTTATGTTTTTATAAGATTATAATTTCCTTTTTTTTTTTTCCAACTTTCGTCTTGTTTCCTTTTTTTTCCTCCAAAAGTATTTCCATTTTTCAATTTTCTCACTATATCGGAGAGTAAATTGGTTCCCGGTTTAAGCTCACCATACCGAATCTGTAATAATGTCTTATGAATATCCTTCAAGTCTGTCAATCTCCTCTGTTTTATCCTCTGCATCGAGTTTTTTTGCATGAACTGTAATTGGGCCTGGGCTTTTAACTGAAACTCAGCCCATCTTCTTGCCGCTTAACCCATTTGCAATCTTAAACCGAAGACTAACCACGAGATTGAACCAATCCTCAACAATGTGAAAACCATCATGACAATTTTAGTGTGCTCTTCTTCTCTGTGAGAGTGTGAATTTGGTGTTCTTAAGCTCCCGATGCTGCTGCTGCGTCGCCTTCTGAGTTTTTTGTGGGAGGAATCAACCGAGATAGCTCAGAAGATCGTATGGAGCTTCCATCTCCCCTTGAGTGTTCACTAAAATTGAAAATCCCAGGATCTGTTCCAACCTTGATGAACATGCTTGACTGCCAGATCCTCCCTCTGGGCTTTCAATACAGAATTATAGGTTGGGATCCTGAAGAACAGACAACAGTTTTTCTTCCGCTAAACAAGGATGGAAGAGAATTCGTTGTGCTTCTCAACTACTCTTACCTTTTACTGGCATTAACAAGTGCTGAAATGAGGTGGAAGTTGGTTATGGACGTCCCAAATACATCATGCACGGAGTTAGTCACTTTTCGAGGCAGATTTTATGCAGCCTTTCTTCACGGGGAGGTTTGCGTTATCGATCCTTGTTCGCTGGAAGCGGCTAGCCTGATGCCGTCTGAGCCTCTGTGCTCAAGCAATTATCTGATTCCATCTGGCAATGATGAACTTTTTTTGGTTGAGGTTATCGTTCCTATGGGATTAACTTTCAATCGGTTCAAATGTAGAGTGAGTAGGCTAGATGAGAAAGCTGGAAAATGGGTTGTGGTCAGAGATTTGGGAGACCGTGTATTCTTTATTGGTGGACAGTTTGGAAATGTCTGCTGCTCGTCTAAGGAGCTTCCTGATGGTTGTGGTGTGAGTGGAAACTCAATTTTGTTCACCTTTGGGCCACGCAATGTAACTTGCACCTATAAATATGGAGTACATACAGGAAACGAGGAAGACGACCTCAACTGGTGGAGATGCGTAAGTGAGAATCGTGTGACGATCTTCTACATTAAGCCAGAAAATCTCACTTTGGATACCGAAGACATCTGATGATTTTTGGTAAAGATAGTGTGTCAGTCGGGATTCAAATCTTAAATCCTTGTTGTGTATGGAAATGGTCATCTCATGAACTCTATCTTGGTATCAATCGTGTCAGTCGTACTGGCTGTGTACTGGTCATGTGTTTGACAAAAAGTTTCCACTTTTGCCAAGGTTTTTAAAAGATGTCTATTTTCTCGATCTGCAGCAGATGCACAATAGCCTTTGACCTACATCGTCTTCTCTGTTTTAAACTGCCCGTTAATGTTGTTTTAGAAGAATTCTTTCTTTTGTATCTCTCTACCAACTGCAGGCAGAGTGACACAAATGACAATTTCTATCATCTTCTGTCTCTGTCACTTATAGAGTTCTAAACTTGTGTAATCCAAAGTTTTAGTACAGAGTCTTCTTCCCTCTTTTGGTACGAAATTGAATAATCTATTTGCTTATTGAATTCTGGAATTGGATTCGATTCTCTCATTTCAACATCTGCTGGCAAATCTTGTTCTTGATAGTTACTTTTCTCTATTCATGTTTTTTTCCTTCAGATTTCTGGAATAGCAGCTATCAGCAAAACATGGCACCGAAAAAGAAGACACCAACCATGGTTTGGGTACGGATTCTTGTTCTCCTTTTGGTACAGATATCGAAAAAGTTATAATTTTTACCGAAATCTTGAACTGGATTTGATTCCCTGTTTCAATAGCTAGAGGAATCGGGGAAATCCTGAAGCAAATCCGAGAAAATGTAACATGGCAAAACCTGCAAAGGACAAGAACAAATCGCTACTGGACTGCTCTCCTCTCCTCGAAGAGCTCCCGCAAAGTCCTGATTGTGTAACAACTCTTTTCCTCCCTGAGTTTACTACTTAATTTATTGGCATAAGTAAGAGTTTGAGTTCGGAAATTTGATTTGAATCTTTGTTTTCATGTTTGTTGGCAGATGTAGTTTGGTGTTTGTCTGGTTAAAAACATCTTCCTTTGTATACCTGAGACATCTGCTGGCTTTAAAAAAAAAAAGAAAAGTTCCTTATGATTTCAGGTAAAGATCTTGTGATTTCTGATGTTATAGAGATATTCTAGGTCTAATTTCTAAACCTTGTTGTCCTTATGGAAATGGTTGTCTCATGAATTCTCACAGTTGTGTGTGGTTTTCTAAATAAGTCGGCTTGTTGTATAATGATCTCCTTCAAACCAGGAACCACAACTTCTGATTAGTTTTTTTTCCTTAACTTTTGCTACTTTGTGGGTTTTTTTTTCAACTTGAACGATGTACATTACAATTCATTGGTGGAGAGGTGACTTGTGGACTGTGTTGATAGCTTCACACGCAAATCTCTGCAGAAACAAGACGAGACTTGTCTCAGTGAAATTCCACTTCTCTCCATGCGATGAAAAAAGTAGTTATTTTTTTTACCTCAAAGTGGGATTTCATAGTGCACAAGTCTTACTCTGAAACCAAGTCCATTAATAAATACAGAAACCAAGAAGACAACAATAAATATATAAACTATTTCTGATTTGACAATAACCAAAAAAATAACCAAAGCTCTCGAGCTCCAAGGAGAGTTTACCAATATAAACAGTCTCTTCATCAAATTACTCTGAACTTGATGAAATGTTGTGTTCCCTACATTAGAAACTGAAAGATTTAGGCATTTTGAGAATGGCAAAGCAACATTTCTTCAAGCCTCTTCTTCCCGGATTCCACAGTCACTTGGTACACTCTTTCACCCTTCTTCTTTTTCTGTCTTTGTCTCTCTGAGAAGCTCATTGAGAATAAATGGGTCTGTTTTTTTTGTTTGCATGTTGCTTCAGACAATTCCTGTGGCTTTCTTCTTGAAGAATATAGAAGGAAGACATGAGCAGAAGACGGCGGAGCTGAGATCAGACGCGTCAAAGATAACTTGGGAAGTGAAGATTGATGGACAGAGACTCACTGACGGTTGGAAAGAGTTTGCTCTCTCGCATGATCTTCGAATCGGTGACATTGTGGTGTTTAGACAAGAGAGAGATATGTGTTTCCACGTTACAATGTTGGGACCTAGTTGTTGTGAGATTCAATATGGTTCGTGTTTAGACAACAAGAACAACCTCGGTGAGTTGTGTTCTTTCGTCTTTCGAACTCTATCCATCTATATAAGTTTTAACTAATACTAGTTGGATTTGCTCTCTTCGATTTCAGGGAAGATTCAAAGGAAGAAGAATCCAAGAAGAGAAACAGAGTCTTCGTCACTAGATCCTTCTTGTTTTGTGGCTAATGTCACGGTTTCGAGTCTACGCGATGACAGACTGGTATTCTACTCTTAATTTGAACCCCAAAAGAAACTCTCGTTCTAGGGTCTGAAATAGATCAAATTCTTGTTGTATTGTCATGTTTTTATAGAATCTTCCAAGAAGTTTTGTGAGGGAAAATGGTCTAGACACAAGATGTGGAGAGATTGTTCTGATGAATGAAAAGGGCAGAACATGGACTTTAGATTTGAAAGGAAACAAATCATACAGAACTACTTACATCAAACAAGGATGGAGAAGTTTCTGTCATGCCAATGGACTTAGAGCTGGAAGTATCTTCACTTTTAAACTGATCCAAAAAGGAAAAACTCCGGTTCTACGTTTGTCCCCCAAAGAGCCAGAGGAACAAGCTAATGAAGTGTCCCTTTCCCCAGAACTGGAAAGCGATGAAGATACCAACCTTGGTAAGTTTTGTTTTGTCTCTCTCTCTATAATACTTGACATTCAAGAATCAGTTTCACTATTACCACTTGGATTTATTCCTGTCATTTTCAGGGAAGATTCAAAGGAGGAAGAAAAGGAAGAAGAATCCAAGTAGAGATATAGAGTCTTCTTCACTAGATCCATCTTGTTTTGTGGCTCATATTACGCGTTCGAGTCTACGTTATGACATACTGGTATTCTACTCTTCATTTGAACCCAAAATATCTCTTAAACTAGACCAAATTCATGTTGTATTGTAATGAATTTCCAGTATCTTCCAAAGCGTTTTATGAGGGAAAATGGTCTAGATACAAGATGTGGAGAGATGATTTTGATGAACGAAAAGGGCAGATCATGGGCTTTAGATTTGAAACGAAAGAACTCATGCGGAACTACTTACATCAAACGAGGATGGAGAAGTTTCTGTCGTGCCAATGGACTTAGAGCTGGAAGTTTCTATACTTTCAAACTGATCCAAAATGAAAGAACTCTGGTTCTACGTTTGGTCCCCAAAGAGCCAGAAGAAGAAGAAGAAAAAGCCAATGTAGAGTCTCTTTCCACAGAACCGAGTGATGAAGAGAGCAGCCAAGATGAGAAGAGCTCACAAGAATGTTCAAAAACAATGGAAAAGAAGAGTATATTGATACAGAAAGCTTCATCTTCAGCTTCCCAAAGCCGATTCGTGACCGTAACTCTTACACTTTACAACGTCAGCTTATCTAGACTGGTTAGTTTCACCACTGAGCCATTTTCTCTTTACAGCCTTATCGATTCTGAACTCTAGTCTCCGTTGTTTGAATCTTTCTCAGACTCTTCCCATACCTTTCACAAAGGTGAATGGCATACAAAATGCAAAGAAGATGAGTTTCTTGGATAAACATGGCGTGAAATGGTCTACGAGTCTGAGGTTTGAACAGGACCGTCAGAGAATGAGATTGGTAGGAGGCTGGAAAGAGTTTTGCGATGCGAACGGTGTGAAGATTGGAGAATCGATCATGTTGGAGCTAGTTTTGGAAGCAGACAAAAGCTTTGTTCTTAAGTTCTGCTCCAAGGTAATGCAAGAGATCAAATGAAATAGTTTCTGAGGTTATTGAAATACAAGAATACTGGTTAAAGCTTTTGTTTGATATCTCAGTTTTCTGTTCTTCCTACTAGTTTACTAGAAGCTCCATGCATGCTTTGTCTAAATGCTTATGGTCAATGTTCTTTTTGAGTGTTGTTGAATGTTGTGTAATAATTTCAATATTTCTATCGTCTACTCTGTTCTAGTTACATTGAGAGAGCCTGTGACAGCTCATATGGTCACTTCACTTTCTTTTATTTTTGAGCTAAGCAAATAGATATGTTTTTTTTTTTTTTTTTTTGACTTCTGCAAATAGATATGTTTATTTGACCTATTATGTAACTAATAAGTCTTATAAAGCTGAATCATAAGTATGGAAATTCTGACAAGGTCAATCATTCAATGATTTGATTTTTTTGTAAGAAACTTACAGAAACACTTTCACGGTTTCGCCTGGCATCTTAGGCTATAATCTCTGAAATCAGATGACTCCTTCCATACATCTCCGGATATAATCTGTTTCCATTACAAATTGTGCTTTGGTTTGTACTACATTTGAATTTTAATCCGGATAGGAACCGGATAATCCCATTTTCTCACGAATATCCTACATATGATTCGAGCCTAGTTAATAATTGCTAGGGATGGGCACAAGACGAATACCCGCTATTTTATAGATACTTGTTACTTGACTTGTCTTGTACTAGTAATAAAAATTTATACTTATATTTGGCTTGTTGAAAACAAGTACCTGTAATTCCAACTATTTGCTAAAAAATGATTGCCTAATTGCGAGGTACTTGTCTTATTTTATTACTTGCAAGTATTTGCGAGTTATTTCCAAATAACACTTTTGAATTACTTGCATACTTTTTGGTTATTTTTTTATGTTTTTTATTTACTTAAAAATTACTTTACTTTTGACCTAAATTTTAAATATGTTTTTAACACTAATAAAATACGAAATATGTCTATATAATATAGTAAAATAATAACGAGTAACTGGTCAAACAAGCTGGGTATTTTTTTTTTTTTTTAATTACTTGTTACTTGGCTTGTATATGCAAATATCTAAATTATATTACTTATTATCTGTTTTGACAACAACGGATACTTGTTTTTGCTAGAAAATTTGGTGGGAAAATTTTTGGCAGAAAAATTCATATTTTTATTTTGTTGACTTGACTATTTTTCAAATAAGGATAAGATGATCATTAAAGATTAAAAGATGGCAAATTTAAAAATAGGTAAAATAATGGAGTATTTTTGAAAAAGGATCTAAAAAATGACATTTCTAACAATTCTTAAACAAAATACCACATTTTAATATGTCTATGTGTATCTTCCTAGTTCGTTGGACTGATTGTGAAACCAAAGAAATCCATTTTTTGCGTCTGTTTAGCTTTATGGTCTTCCCTCATGGTTTTTTTTTTTTTTTTCTGAGTAGTTGTACTAGTGTTTGGTTCAAGGGATTTTTGTCTAATGTGCTATATACTGTAGCAAAACTTATAGAAATTGCCACAAAACATTTATCTTTCCAAATGTGTCATAATGGTGAACAAGACTTTGAACCAAAAATTTTTGGTAGACAAGAAATATTGTCCACCTTTGAAACAACAGATTGAAAAGATATTTGGTGGACAAAAAATCGTGTCTACCTTTGAAACAACAAACTTTTGTTGGATAAGAATTCGAAATGACATACAAAAATTTGGGTAGAGAAGAAATGTTGTCTACCATTATGGCACATTTAGAAAGATTTATGTTTTGTGACATTTTTGCTAAGTTTTTTAACAGTAAGTGACACATTAGTTAGATTTCTCTTGATTCAATGTAAACAAACTAGACGGTATGCAAAAACACTATTCCTACGTAACATATTAGAAATAGAAAAAAAGGTGGAAAACTAATAAAACTAGATTGAATAAAAATAAAAATTTCTAATTTGGGGAAAAAGAATGTCAATCCTGTGCATCATCTCTTTTTTTTTGGTCATCTGGAATTTTTATTAATACGTAGATAAAAATAAATTTTGAAATATTTTAAGAGCCTGCGGAAAAAGAAGAATCTCGGCAGCTGTTTTTGATAATTGAATTTACATACTCTTGTGTGATAAAATTAAGATATTTATATAGATATATATTTGAAAATGTTATGGACAATTTATAATGACTCATCAAAACGTTAATATTTCAAGATATGTCAAAATAAAATTTAATTTATATATAAAATGTAAAGAAATTAATTAATGGTTATATTTTATCACTTTCTTATTGCATCTTGCTAACCTTTTTTAACATTCTATAAAAAGTTTAACATTCACACAGAAAATGTGAATATTTTTTTTCAGAACGGTCAAAACGATATGGTCTGGTCTTGACTTGGTCACACACTCACACTCGTCAGTTATTTGTTAGAGGAAGTAAACGCAAGAATCGCTCCATCAACGGCTCCTTCCGGATTTTAAAAACTGACCATTTCGTAAAATAACTTGTCTGACTTTTTACTTTTTAGTTTTTAGGCTTTTTGGTACGTTACTGAAAGTTTTATTTCGTAAGAGAACTGCATTTTGTAACTCTGTTTTCAATATCTGTTGGGTAATCGTGTTTAGAAAATAAGATTATAGTTAATTTGAATCAGTTCTAAGTTACATCATCATCATCATCCATGAAGCCAGACTGGTCTCTTTTACCGGAGGAGCTCCTGCCCATTGTCTCCAAGAATGTGGAGGACTGTTTCGATGTTGTTCATGCTCGCTCTGTTTGCAATTCGTGGCGATCTACGTTTCCCTTTCCTTCTTGCCTATTACGCCCAAGTTACTCTCTTCCTACTTTCGACGAGTTCACTCTCGAAAGCAAAGACTTGTGCACCCTCGAGAAGGTCCCTTTGTTCGTCTTTAGAGTCAAAACTCCTGCTTCTTCTACGTCGCCTTTTGAGTATTTTCTGGGAGGCATAGGCCGAGATGATCGTATGGATCTTCCATCTCCCCTTCAATGTTCAGTGAAAGTGGAGATCCCAGGATATGATTCAACCTTGATGAACATGCTAGACTGCCAGATCCTTTCTCTAGGCCATCAGTATAGATTAATCGGTTGGAAACCTAAAGATTACAGAGGCGTGGCTTTTCTTCCGCTAAAAAAGAAGGGAAGAGAAGGGGAATTCGTTGTGATTCTCAATTAAATTAACGTATTGATGGTCTTAACAAGTGCGGAAATGAAGTGGAAGCGGCTTGAGAACGTCCCATATGCTATATGCTCGGATTTAGTCACTTTTAGAGGAAGATTTTACGCATCCTTTCTTAGCAGAAATACTTTCCTTATCGATCCTTATTCGCTGGAGGTGACTCTCCTGATGCCCTCACCTTAGAAGCCACTAAACTATCTGGTTGCATTTGGCAATGATGAACTTTTCCTTGTTGAGGTAACCATCCCAAATTTTGATGTAATAGATTTTAGCCGGTTCACATGTATAGTGAGTAGGATAGATGAGGAGGGTGGTAAATGGGTTGAGGTCACCGACTTGGGAAACCGTGTCTTCTTTATTGGACACTTTGGAAATGTCTCTTGCTCGGCTAAGGAACTTCCTGATGGTTGTGGTCTGAGTGGGAACTCAATTTTGTTCACCAATGAGCCAATTTATGCCTATAAATATGGAGTAAATACATTCTATTGGTTTTCTTTTAATTATATCACAAACAAACTTTAAACTTTGCTTTGATTGTAGGGACTTTGTGATCTCTCTTGTTACCCATTGTTTGGGAGTTTGTGTCTTGTGTCACGGCGATAATGCTGAAGGCTAGATCATTTAGTATTCAAGTCTTAATATTATTTTGTTCTAAACTATTTCCCACAACTTTTTCAACACCACACAACCATGTCTCTGTAAATATGTGCGGCTGTGTTCTTGGTATCACACGGTCATGTGTTTGACCGAAGTTTTTAATTTTGCAAAAAGTTTTTAAAGAAGTATGTTTATTACACAAATTGAAACTTTAAATCTTTATACATAATTTGCCTCTGACCCATCTTTCATGGCTACAAGCTTGAAAGATTATACATAATTTGCCTCTGTCTATCTCTTATTTATGCCTTGGAGCCAAAGTTGTTGAGCCACACAGGAGATGAAAACAGCTTCAGGAGACTTTGATAAGTTGAAGTTCCCTGAATATTACAGGGCATGTCTACGTAAGTTCTTGTCTTATCCAGATCATGCATGTAATTTTTCACTCCTAATCTTTTAAAAGTCAAAATCTCAGTTTTTACTTTTCAGCTGATTGAATATTCAAATAATTCTCATAAATCTACAAAAGAGTGAAAGACGGCTATTAATTTTTAAAATGCTTTAGGAACCGTCTATAAATTTTATAGTATCCATATAGTGAATAGAAGTAGTACTTATGTTGGAGATAAAAAAAAGTGATTATTTCTGCTTCAATACATACCTATTAATGGAGGATAATTATGGTTTCATATTTTTAATTCCACATCGAACTTCCTCTTATGCCAATAATTCACTTCTTCATCTTCCATTATATTTTTTTTTGCTAAACTGTTAATATCATTAGAAAAATGAAACTGTTTGACTATTACATAGTAAAGCCAGAAACTAAGAAATCTTGGCAAAAAGAATAAAAACAAGATTTCAGAATTGGGAAGGCACACATATTGAGCTTAGGTTAACCATAGCTGCATCAAATCGCGAAAACGCTTCCGATGCCGGCGAGCCATAATAGTGTTTCGAATATCCCTGTTGATAAGATTGAAAATAGCACCTGAGGAGATATTGGACTGATTGTGGATCACATTGTTTCGCTGCTTCCATTATATTACAATGCTATTGTATACTCTAATGTATGTTTGAGATCTAATGTAGTTACAGAGGCGTGGCTTTTCTTCCGCTAAAAAAGAAGGGAAGAGAAGGGGAATTCGTTGTGATTCTCAATTAAATTAACGTTTTGATGGTGTTAACAAGTGCGGAAATGAAGTGGAAGCGGCTTGAGAACGTCCCATATGCTATATGTTCGGATTTAGTCACTTTTAGAGGAAGATTTTACGCATCCTTTCTTAGCAGAAATACTTTCCTTATCGATCCTTATTCACTGGAGGTGACTCTCCTGATGCCCTCACCTCAGAAGCCACTAAACTATCGGGTTGCATTTGGCAATGATGAACTTTTCCTTGTTGAGGTAACCATCCCAAATTTTGATGTAATAGATTTTAGCCGGTTCACATGTATAGTGAGTAGGCTAGATGAGGAGGGTGGTAAATGGGTTGAGGTCACCGATTTGGGAAACCATGTCTTCTTTATTGGACACTTTGGAAATGTCTCTTGCTCGGCTAAGGAACTTCCTGATGGTTGTGGTCTGAGTGGGAACTCAATTTTGTTCACCAATGAGCCAATTTATGCCTATAAATATGGAGTAAATACATTCTATTGGTTTTCTTTTAATTATATCACAAACAAACTTTAAACTTTGCTTTGATTGTAGGGACTTTGTGATCTCTCTTGTAACCCATTGTTTGGGAGTTTGTGTCTTGTGTCACGGCGATAATGCTGAAGGCTAGATCATTTAGTATTCAAGTCTTAATATTATTTTGTTCTAAACTATTTCCCACAACTTTTTCAACACCACACAACCATGTCTCTGTAAATATGTGCGGCTGTGTTCTTGGTATCACACGGTCATGTGTTTGACCGAAGTTTTTAATTTTGCAAAAAGTTTTTAAAGAAGTATGTTTATTACACAAATTGAAACTTTAAATCTTTATACATAATTTGCCTCTGACCCATCTTTCATGGCTACAAGCTTGAAAGATTATACATAATTTGCCTCTGTCTATCTCTTATTTATGCCTTGGAGCCAAAGTTGTTGAGCCACACAGGAGATGAAAACAGCTTCAGGAGACTTTGATAAGTTGAAGTTCCCTGAATATTACAGGGCATGTCTACGTAAGTTCTTGTCTTATCCAGATCATGCATGTAATTTTTCACTCCTAATCTTTTAAAAGTCAAAATCTCAGTTTTTACTTTTCAGCTGATTGAATATTCAAATAATTCTCATAAATCTACAAAAGAGTGAAAGACGGCTATTAATTTTTAAAATGCTTTAGGAACCGTCTATAAATTTTATAGTATCCATATAGTGAGTAGAAGTAGTACTTATGTTGGAGATAAAAAAAAGTGATTATTTCTGCTTCAATACATACCTATTAATGGAGGATAATTATGGTTTCATATTTTTAATTCCACATCGAACTTCCTCTTATGCCAATAATTCACTTCTTCATCTTCCATTATATTTTTTTTTGCTAAACTGTTAATATCATTAGAAAAATGAAACTGTTTGACTGTTACATAGTAAAGCCAGAAACTAAGAAATCTTGGCAAAAAGAATAAATACAAGATTTCAGAATTGGGAAGGCACACATATTGAGCTTAGGTTAACCATAGCTGCATCAAATCGCGAAAACGCTTCCGATGCCGGCGAGCCGTGATAGTGTTTCGAATATCCCTGTTGATAAGATTGAAAATAGCACCTGAGGAGATATTGGACTGATTGTGGATCACATTGTTTCGCTGCTTCCATTATATTACAATGCTATTGTATACTCTAATGTATGTTTGAGATCTAATGT